ATTATCGTTTTATAAATAAATAATTCGATAATTTGGAAGTTATTTCGTGTCACTATTTTTCACTAGGATTAAACGAACCTGTCGTCGACCGGCCCAGTTATAGTGTCCGATAAACACATAACATACACACAAACACACAGACTCTAAATAATCCGTTAATTATATATATATATATATATATATATATATATATATATATATATATATATATATACTTTATTAGATATTTTGGCCCATTTAGCGTTGATTAGTTTTTAACCAATAGATTCAACATTTCGTATTTGGGTTAAATCATATTTATTAAACAGTTGTGTCATAGTGCGGCTTACAACGTTGTTTCGGCGTGAGCGCCATCTTCAGAGCCTTAAGTAATATATTTATACATTAGAGTATGTTGAATAACTCTAAAATGTTTTAATATATGAAATTGAAATATAATAAATTACGTTGAAATGTAATTAAGAATATGTGAGATAAGAAAATAAATTAGAATAAATAAAATATGATTAGTTAATTAAAATATATAAAATAAAATGACGATAAGTAAATAATATATTACCTTTGCTGTAAAAATAATACATAATTAAAATATTTCATATAAGGTATTTAAAATTAATAAATTAATTAATTAAATTGTTTTAGATAATGTAGAATTACAAAGTAATAAATTGCGGCTCCAGCAATTTTTCAACGTATTCTATCCAATATCATAAGAAGAAATAATCTGGACAATTTTTGCATGAACTATATTTGTATTTAAATTATCCGTTAAATTACCAACCTTAACAACTATATTTGCCCGGGCCGAACTAAGATTGAACCCACTGATAGTTTTGAAAGTACTTCTTTTATTCATTAAGCCTAGTTTTAAAATATCTATGATTTTCCTATTTATTAGACTTATATTTGATCCACTATCATAAACCGCTTTAACTTTTAATTTATTATCGATTATTACGTTTACTCTTATCAGTGCATTCAATTTTCCCGGACTTTCTAGTTTAAAAATTTCTTGTTAATTTCAATTTTCATCATATGTGCCTCGTCATCTATTTGGTAGTTAGTATCATGAATATTAATTTCTCTTTTTGATGAGTAAAGAGTCTTATTTCTAAATTCATTTGTTTTATGGTATCGATTTTTCCAGCCCAATTCTTCACACATAAAACATGATTTATTTGCTGTGGTGTTAATATTCTTCTCTGACCTGATAAAATTTGGTCTAACAAAATTTTCTTTATTTAGAGTGTTATTTTCATACCTTTGATTTTGTTTATTTAGAGTATTATTTGTCTTTGCTTCTACTTTGTATTTCGGTACCGAAATTTCTTTGTCTACATTTTCATATTTCGGTTTGTGTTGATAAAGTTGCTTTGTCTTGACATCCGTATTGTATGGTATTTCATTACTTAAAAATTTATTGTCATATTTCGGTTTGATGTTAGAAACTCATTCATCAATTTCTGTTAGTTCTTTGAACAGTTTTTCAATGGTCGTTATTTCTTCTCTATCAAGCTGGTTTTGTATTTCTACAGGAAGGCCCATAACGATCATGTTTATTCTCGACATTTCAATTTCTAAACATAGGTTTTCCTTCGCTAAGACATAGTCTATTAAAGAACCACCTAAATATTTGTAATTATATGCGATTCTTATTTTTTTCCAACCTCTATTATTGCTTAGTTTATCTTAAAGCTGACTAAATTGACCGAAACAAAAACTAAAAATACTACGCTACTTCATCCCAACACAAATCATGTTTAAGCTTCGCAACTACAACTTCTCGCCAACCTGGATATCGTCCAGTTTAGACAACCTAATAGTAAGTAAAGTCAGGGATTGGCTTGCTATGCCGATCTATGGATGTGAATTGCAAGTGCTATCGTTGCCTACCAAACTCGGAGGTAACAACATTATGTTACTGAGAGACACTGCAGAAAAAACAAAAATGAAGGTTCGCAGCTATTTAAAAAACAGCAACAATGAAGAAATCCATTGCTTATGGCGCGAAACCTCTTCAAACTTTGTCAAGCCAAAGTCTTTTATTTTTTTACTACCCAAATCGCCTGCCCAGCTTCATCTAAAATCACTACCAGGAAACGACAATCTCGATGACTTTTTTGACGCGTTTCAATCTACAATCTATAGCTACTTTGCCTAGAATTATGGCACCATCAAATACAAATCACAAACTGATCTACCTGCTGACACAAACAACTCGGTCAAGGAACTAAAAAAAGAGCTAAAGCAACTAAAAATATTAAGTCAACACAACTACAAATTCGACAACCAGATCATCAACACTAGTAAGACCCTTCGTTCTAAACTACTGTCAATAAAACTTTCTAAACATAAAAGAAAAAAATCTACAATCACCACTCAACTAAAACAACGATTCTGGTGGGCATGCAAGAAAATATTTGCAACAACAAAAAATATGACACCACTATTCAGCTCAATCGATTGTGAAAAATATTTCTTCAATATTCTAAACAGCATCAACAAAAAGAAATATCAACTCCCTAATTGGGCAAAAACACACCAGCGCCCACATCGCCCTGCAACGTCAATCCTCCTACCTACCACGAAATATCTGCAATAATCCACAAATACAGATCAAAATCATCACTATGTCCGCTAAATCAGATCTCAATTATTCCATTTAAAAGATGTCCTATATTGCGCACCTTTCTCCACAAATTGTTCACGCAATGTTGGTTGTCCTCTAGAATCCCATCATGATAGAAGAAAGGTTTCACAATGCTAGTTCACAAAAAAGGTGACGCACATGATCCGGCCAACTTCCGACCCTACGCTCTATAAAATATTTTCATCCTGCATTAACAACAAAATGTACAACTTTTTAGAATCAAACAACCTCATCAATAAAAACATCCAAAAAGGTTTTTATCCGAAGGTGGACGGACTGACCGAACATACCCAGCTTTTATCACAAATGATCAATGACGCTAAAAGACATCAAAGAACAATAATTGTCATTTTGTTGGATCTTAAAAACGCTTTCGGCGAGGTCAGCCACGACCTAATCTCATCCACCTTAGACCATCATCATATACCGCCAATGATCGCTGATTTAATAAAATTCACATACGCCGACTACACCATATCAGTTTCGGGTTGCGATCAACTTACACCTCCTGTCCGGGTCAAACGTGGCGTACTCCAAGGGGACCCTCTTCCGCCTCTGCTGTTCAATTTGTGCTTTAACCCTTTAATGAAAATACTGGAAAAGCCTGAATATCAACAATGCGGCTACATTTGGGGACCTAGAGCATGGATGCATTTTCCGATGATACGGCAATTATTGCTAACAGCACGGAAAGTGCTCAAAAGTTGATCGACATCAACCAGGCTTGGTGTAACAAAACTGGTATGAAAATAAGATTAGATAAATGCTCATCATTCGGCATGAGGAAAAATATGGTGTTTACGAACCTTCCAAAGCTGACCATAGACGATGGAACTATTCCTCAAGTCGAAATAGGGGGGCACTTCATATACCTGGGCAAAATATACGACTTTGAAGGAAAGGGCACAGAAGCCAAGAAATTGCTAATTGGTAAATTAAAAGGTTTGTTGTCGGTGATCGGCGAACTAGATACGTCAGCACAATTGAAGCTACAAATTTTAAGACGATACATACCATCACAACTGGCTTTTGAGCTTAGGACATACGATGTCTCGTTGACATGGATTGGCAGTTGCCTTGACCCATTGGTGGTAGAGGCAGTGAGAATGTGGCTGTCATTGTCAATCAGTAGTTGCCTGTCAGAGAGCTTAACACTTCCCTTCAAACTGGGTGAATTAAATGTTAGATCTCTCAACATTACGCCGAATCCTTGAGGATCAAACTTCGCAACTATTTAAAAGCCAATGGAAATGTGGAGCTAAAATTTCTGTGGAGCGAATCGTTCAGCGACTTCATTAAAATCGACAATATGCTTCCTGACGCCAACGACATCATACCGACATTTAAAGCAATAAAAGAACAACAACAAACCGCAGCTTCAAATCATCTGATATCCCTTCAATGTCAAGGAACAATATTAAAATCAATTCGAGCACACATCCTAGCTGTTCGCATAGATCGTTGATCGAGGTACGTAACATGTCTTCCGGAAGTTCTGTTTAAATTTGTCAGAAAAACTTTAATCCAACAACTTCCGACAAACGCCAACCTTCAAAGATGGGGAAAATCATCCACTGCACAATGTCTTCTATGCAGCGCTTGCCAAACAAATAAACACGTTTTATCAAATTGTGGCGCGGCGTCGGCACTGAAGCGATTTACATCACGTCACAACAAATTTTTTCAATAATATTAGACAGGTTGAAATCATGCGGAGGCCCTGATGTCTCAATATATGCAGACACGGATCAAGATAAGTATCAGCCACTATCCTGCCTCTTCAAGACTCTACGTCCTGACATCGCACTACTTTGAAATCCTGGAGCTCACTGTTTGCCATGAGACAAACTTTCTGAAATCAAAAGACAATAAAATGTCAAAGTACTCCCATAATTTGCAAAATAATTTGACCAATAATTATAAACACTCTAACGTTACAATTAATACATTTGAAATATCCCCTTTAGGTTTTTTTAATACTTTTGACTTGTCTCTTATTAATTTAATATGTACTGATGATTTTATCAACAACCTTATTTATGCAGCAATTTCGTCGTCATATAGTATTAACTGTGATAGAAATGCAAATTGAATGAACCATTTAGGACAAACCTTCTCTCGTTGTACACATTTTTTTTATAAGATGACGAGCTTCGGAGATTATTTCAGGACATTTTACTATATACATATATATTTTAATTTTGATTATCATTGAAAATTATTGTTTTTTTCATTTCATGTACGTTTTTACGATGAAAATAAAAAGGTGTTCTCATCATCATTATTATTAGTAGTATTATTATTATTGTTATTGTTATTATTATTATTATTATTGTCTGTCCATTACGGTCTAAGCCGGTTTGCAGATGATTTCAGGGCCCATCCGAGTCCAGAGAAGATCATCCAAGAAACTTTCTAAGGATATGAGCAGTTCCGAGTAGAGCAATTTTCTGAATTTCTTCCCTTGTTGGTTTCCCAGGAATCATTTCAAGATTTTTTATTGTCACATTCTCAATGATTCCTAAAGCTCCTACGACTATTGGTATTACTTTGCATTTAATGTTCCACATTCGTGAAATTTCAATTTCTAGATCTTTATACTTGCATTTTTTTCGGCTTCCTTCGAAATAACATTTGTGTCACACGGTATAGATATCTCAATCAACAAGCATACTTTTTCAATCTTATTCAAAACTGTGATATCTGGTCTGTTGGCAATGATTTTTCTATCTGTAATTATTTGTGAATCCCACATTATAATTATTTGTTCATCCAGGTTTATGACTTTTGCCGGTTCATATTCATAATATTTCTCATCTATTTTCATTTTGTAGTGTTTGCAAATCGACCAATGAATATATTTTGCTAGGTCGTTATGTCGTTTCATGTAGTTCGTCGGCGCAAGTGCTGAATATCTTGCAATTATATGGTTAATGTGTTCTTCCTCTAAATGACATAATCTGCATTTGCTATCTATCTGTTTTTTTTAAGATTTTTCTTTGTAAATATTTCGTATTGAATACCTGATCTTGGGCTTTCTGTTTCACCCCTTAATCCGCTGAAATTTAACCATCCAACACTGGCTATTGTATTTATACCTGGTTTTTCCAGTTCCTTAAAGTATTGTCCATGTAACGGTTTATTGCAAATTTGTTCTTTTCTTAGTTTTTTTAATTTTATCTTCAATTTATCTACATTATTTAGATTGTTATTATCTTCATTTGTCAGATACATGTTTTGATCTCCAGTGATTGCTTCTGCATCGAATGTGTATTTTTTAGATCATAAAACTGGAATATTTTCATAAATTTGTTCGGAGCTTTTTCAACATAATCTGACAGTCCAACAATTACCTTTTTGTAAATTGATTGTACCTCCAAAAGCCCTTTTCCACCATTTATCAGCTTTAGGATGCAACATTCCATATAATGTCAGCAATTTTCTAGTTACTCTACCTAATTTATTTAATTCGGCTTTTGTCCAGAATATTATGCCGAAACTATACGTCAGAATAGGAATAGCGAAACTATTTATTGCCATTATTTGTTTTTAAAAATAAGTTGTGTTTTTAGAATTCTTCTAATTCTTGAAAAATATTCTTTTTGATTTTTTTTCATCATCTTGTCGTGAATTTCAGCCCTTTCTTCCATTCCAAGATACTTATAAGATTCCTCTAATTGAAGGCTTTTAATCTTAACTTCATCTTCCAGAATAACATCATTTCCAGTTACCATTTTACCATTTATTACAGAGGTGATAGCACATTTTTCTAAACCAAATTGCATTTGAATATCATTACTGAATTTTATGACCTTGCTTAAACTTTTATGAAGTTTCAGTAAAGATGGAGAAAATAGTTTTAGATCATCCATGTATAAAAGATGGTTTAATTTACTGTTATATATTTTATAACCTAGATCTGCTTGATTTAAGGCATTAGACAGTGGAATAAGCGCCAGGCAAAACAACAACGGTGATAACGAATCTCCTTGGAAAAGTCCTCTTTTAATGTTGATCTCATCAGTCTTTATTGTTTATTGTTTAGCGTTTAACATTATGATTGTTTTCCAATTTTGCATAATACTTTCTAGCCATTGTGTAATAGTGTCATTTATTCCATACAACTTCAACGTTAGTTTTATCCAATCATATGGTACACAGTCGAAAGCTTTTTTATAATCTATCCATGCAACATGTACATCTTTTTTAAGTTTTTTTGCATTTTTCATAATCATTTGATTCACCATTAGTTGCTCTTTACATCCCATGCTACTTTTCTTACACCCTATTTGTTCATCTGGCAAGACACTGTTTCGTTGAAGATGTGAATAAATCCTTTCTGCAATGAGAGCTGTAGGTACTTTATATATTGTTGGCAGGCAAGTTATAGGTCTATAATTTTTTGAATCAGTTGTGTTTTCATTCTTTGATATTAAACAAGTTATTCCTGTGGTCATCCATTTCGGTATTTTTATAGAATTTCTCATTGTATTCATTGATTGAAAACCTCAAATGTTGATGTAGAGATGTTAGTTGTTTTATCCAGAAATTTGTGACTTTATCATGTCCTGCTGCTTCCCAATTGCTTAATTTTTTAAGAATATTAGCAAATTCGTCTGTGGTGAAATCCTGCCATTGATCACTTTGCAGATTTTTTAAGTGTATTCTTTCTTTCATAATCCAGACTTTTTGATTACTGCTTATTATTATTGTTATTATTGTTGTTTTTAGCGCGAGGAGGTTGAAATGAAATAAAATGTTAAAAAAAATTATTATTATTATTTTTGTTACTCTTTTTTTCTAATACTTATATTTTTTTATTTTTTTTTATAATTATTTAGACTCTTCAATGGATATTTTTGATTTTATGTTTTTTTTTACCCTATTCGAAGTTTTACGAAATAAAATTGGTTTCCATTTATTTTATTTTATTCTGTTTTATTTTATTTTTCATGTTTAAAAATTTTTCTTTCTCCGTTTTTTTTATTTATTTACTTAATTGTTTAATTTTGTACTATTGCCCTTGCATGCTGTAACAGTTTCTGCGTCTGCCAGATCCTAATTTTTAAAGAATAATAAATAAAAAAAATATATATATATATGCTGGTAAAAGACCATAATTAATGCAGTAATTCATTAAATCTACCAAATTTCTAGCGTTGGGTAGTTTTTTTATTAAATTTTTCAATATTTCTAACCAAATTCTTGTCGTCATTATTTATTTTATTAAAGTTAAAATAATAAACAGTTTTTCAATTCATTCTCGATTGTATAGGACCTATTTCAATTTTTCAATCATCTTCAACACTTGTTGCAGTTTATAAAGATAATTTGTATAACCCATTACTTGTTGCTGTTTATATAGAGAATTTGTATAACCCAGCTCTTTGTTCGCCTTTATTGCTGTTAATGACTTAATTTTACTTCTTTATTTATTGATATGATTTCTTTGTTTGGTTAATTTGGTGTTATGTTTTGTTGCTTTGGTGTTATGTTTTATTGCTTTGGTATCATTAACTTGCTCTTTGGTCGATGCACTTTGGTCGATGTTGCTTTCTCCAGTGTTTTCGTTAGTACTCATAGGAAACTTGAAACTTGTTCCTCATGGTAACACCAAGGACGCCGAAATACAGGAAATATTTCAAGTTATCGATTTTGTCTATTTGAACAAATTAGAATATAAATTACCTATTTATGCCGCAGTAAACTTAAAAAAAGTCCCATGCTTTGCTGCAGGTTTAAAACAGAATGACGAAAACAGCAAAGATGAAAAAATCCAACAACAGCTACATGAAATAAAAGAACAGTTAAATACAGTCAGCTTAGGAATAAATAAACAGAATATGGTTTACTCGGCGGTGACAGCAAAAAATGTCAATCCTAAATTGAATGAGATTCAAAGTCCTCGTTCTCTCCCAAGAAATCCAGCTGTTCGGATACAAATACCCCCAACTGCACAACAATATCAGCCACATCCTTCCTCATCATTAGGACCTCTTACTCATCAGCAACATCAGTTTCCATCAGCAATTCAACAAAAAAATCCTTTTTCAATTGTCTCGAAAAAGAAACGTCAAATTAAAAACATTAGAGGAACCAACAGCACTGGCATGTGCCCAAATAAGCTGGGGCAATTGTTAAAAAAAAGTTTACTTTGTAAATAACCTTGCTGACACAGTCAATAATGAAACTTTGACAGAATACTTGGAAACAAATAAATTTAAAGTAATCAGTTGTTTTGAGGCAAAGTCTCATCTGGGAAAAGGCTTCAGAATATGTATTGACATCAATAATTCAGATAGCACTTTCACAGATTCTGCTCTCTGGGATGAGGACACAATCATTCGTGAGTGGGTCTTCTAACCAAATAATAATATTGACAAAAAGAATAAAAATGAAATTAACAAAAATGAAGTAACTTTAATAAATAAACAAAAACATGATGAATAACACACAAAGCAATAATAATATATCAGATAAACACTTCAGTAACAACGACTCAAATTATTACACTGTTGAGGAATTTTCTAAAAATATGTTAGAATTACAAAAGCATATCGGCAGTGATTTTATCTCAATATTACATTTAAATGCTCGTAGTCTGTTTCACAAATTATTGAATCTGGAGATCTTGTTGAAACAATTTGATTTTATCTTCAAAATTATTGTAATATCTGAGAGTTGGTCAAACGATGAAACGGCTGATTAAATTAAATTAAATAATTACAATTTCGTATACAAGAATAGAAGAAATAGACGTGGAGGCGGTGTTGGAATGTTTATAAAAGATGATGTAAAATATGTTGTAAATGAAAGCAACATATTCGATGATGACAACGTTGACATACTTTGCGTGGAATTTGAATTGCATCAATCCTCACTACATAACATGATCAAGATAATTGCCATCTATCGACCACCTAGTTATAAATATGAGCCTTTTTTAGAAAAAATTGAATCGATACTAAATAGTCTAAATCCACTTGATAAAATTTTCATTGTCGGAGATTTTAACATTAATCTAATGGATAAAACCTCCAAAGATTTTCAAAATTTACTTTTGTCGCATTACTTTTTACCTTTGATTGATTTACCAACTAGGATAACTAATAACTCAATTTCACTAATAGATAATATATTTTTAACTTAAATCAACAATGTTATAATGGAATAATAATATCAGACTTTTCAGATCATTATCCAATTTATACAGTTGTAGAAAATACAGGATTTGTCACTACAGATACTCTGACTTTGAAAAGGAACATAAATAAGAGAAATATTTCCCTAATTAAGGAAGCTCTATCGTCTGAAAAATGGGATTCAATAACGGATGAGAGTAACATTGACACCTGTTGCATGAATTTTTATTATCAATTAAATAGAATTCTTGATATTTACGCCCCATCGCAACCGCTGAAACGGAAAAATAAAAAGCCATGGGTAAGTGATGAAATAATTAAATTATCAAAGAAACAGAATAAACTCTATAAAAAAAAACAATTTCAACACCTACTACAGAGAATATAAATAAATATAAGCGATTCAGAAATAATTTTACATCATTTAAACGAAAGGAAGAAAAAAATTACTTTAGTCAAAGATTTAATGATGCAAAAAGCTGTTCAAAGAAAAAGTGGGAGATAATAAATGGTATAATGAATAAAAATCAACAGTTGAATAATAAAATAAAATAAAAGTCAACAATAACATACTCGATAATGCAGAAGAAATGTATAACTGTTTCAATGAATATTTTATAAAAATTACTGAAAATTTGCTTGAAAATCAAACAGTTAATGAATCTTCAAAAATAAACAACTACATTTGTAAATCCATATACATTAACTCTACTGATGAACTTGAGGTATTAACAGTCGTCAAGAATCTTAGCAATAAAAAAGCACCTCTGATGACTCATTAAGTAATTATCTCTTAAAACAAATCATCTCAGAAATTGTACATCCAATAACACATATATTCAATTTGTCCATCAGTCAAGGAATATTCCCAAAATGCTTCAAAACATCCAAGATAATACCTATTCATAAAAAAAGGATCCAAGATGGAAATGAGCAATTACAGGCCAATATCCCTTCTCTCACCTATTTCTAAAGTACTGGGAAAAAATTATATTTATTAGAATAACTTCATTCTTGAATATTAATAATTTATTAAATAAAAATCAATATGGATATAGAGCACAACATTCAACTGAACTAGCAGTACTACATTTAGTACAAAACATATTAAATAATCTGAATACAAAAATCCTAACCATAGGTGTTTTCATAGACCTGTCCAAGGCATTAGATGTTATTAATCATGAGATATTAATAAAGAAATTATACTCCTATGGAATAAGAGGAATAGCACATACATGGTTCATAAGCTATCTGCAAAACAGAAATCAGTATGTGTCGATAAAAAATAAATCTTTAAATAAATTAAATATAACTTCAGGAGTCCCGCAAGAATCAATCTTAGGCCCACTTCTATTTATAATTTTTATGAATGATTTTCATCTGGCTACTGACGCTCATCATCTTCTGTATGCAGAATTTCTTCCTAACATTTTCTTCCCAACTAGCAATCCATCAAATTCAAACGATGTAGAGATAATTAATAAAAGTTTAGATGATGTTTCAAATTGGTTCATCAATAATAAACTAATTGTAAATTTTTGTAAATGCAACTACATTCTATTCGGTCCAAAAATATTAACTAACACAATACCTAATTTAGATATAAAAATGAATAACCATAGCATTCCGCGTACATCCAGCACAAAATTTCTCGGAGTGATAATCAAGGACAACCTCTCGTGGGATATGCATATAGACTCGTTATCGAAAAAAAGTAATAAAACCATAGGCGTAATTAATAAAATTAAAGTAAGATTGAATAAACCAATAATTATAGATTTGTATTATTCATTAATCTATCCACATCTAATATACTGCAACATCATCTGGGGAAACGGCCCTGAAGTTCACAAGAAGCAAATTACCGGATGTCAAAATCGTTTCATCAAAATTCTATTAAATCTACATCCATATAGTCATGTCAGCTGTTATTATCCTGAACTGAAAATTTTAAACATAAAAAATTTGTATAATTATCATGTTTCTAGCTTTGTGTTCAAGTTCCTACATTATCAATTAACAACATCTTTTAATGACTTCTTCGAATTCGGAAATGCTGTGCAGTCAAAGTTCACTCGACATTCTCCTCTGCTCTATACACCACCTGCAAGAATAACACTGCTTGGTGGAAGTTTAAAACATACCGGTCCCGGAATCTGGGAGAAACTTCCTGTTGATATAAAGACTACAAATTCCTTGCATTTGTTTAAAAACAAAATAAAGAAATATTTATTGAAAAAAAGTACAATTTTTATTAAATTAGAATCATGTAAATTGTGCATTATCTTAATTTTGTCATGAATTATAAATTTACTTAAAAATTGTGTTAGAATGAACAATTTGTGAACGGTGGCCTGCGACACAAGAATTTTGTTTTCTTTTAGCTTTGGTCTCCTAATCATTACCTAATTATTAATAATTTGGATTGATTGAATAAATTTGATTTGATTTGATTTGAATATTAAGGTTGTCGGATTGAAAATCCTAGCGATTGAAAAAACTAATAAATAAAACACCACGAAATAAGGAGTTGATTTGTGCGGGCTTTATAAGAAACTGCGATAACTATTCTGATAGGTATTCGGGCTGATGATGAGTCCCCGGTAGGGATGAAACACGTGTCCAGCCTATCCAAACGAATACTATTCTTTTCTTTTCCCGCTCACTGCTCTTCTGGTTCAGTGTTCTCATCATCAAACCCAACCGCAACAAGGTAAATGAATTCATTACTGACATTGAATTTAACTTTGTTGGTATTAAATTAATAGTGAATAAATTTTTTGTATATAAATTATTTTTTCTTATAAAGCAAAATTTGCTGATTAAAATAATACCAAATTTATTATTGTATCATTTCTAGTTACCGAGAAAACGAATTTTGAATGAATTATTTATTTATTCAACTTGCGCCGCGCCATGTTAAGAGTGGCGCTCGATGTTAAGTGAGCATGGAGCGCATAGGCGCCGACTCTATGGGACTTGGAAGGGCTCGAGCCTCCCCAATATTTAGTTCTTTGGGCCCGCACAATGCTGAGCCCCCTCGATATTTTGTTATAAAAATTGAATATTTTTTTTAGATATAATTTTAAATATTTTCTAAACTTTACATACAATTTTCATATTTAGTCCTTGAGATTTTTTTACCGTAATTTAAGCAAATAAGACACAGAATTCAATGACTTTTGGCATGAAGTAACTTTGAAAGCTGCAAAAAGAAGCACCATTATTGGCGTGCGTAAGACGTGCCCCCAAAAATGGACGAAGGTGGACAACCTTATAAACTCCTTCTTTTAAAATACTTCTTCTGATCCGAAGGAGTATTTTAAAAGATTTTATATTCAAGCCGTGGACGCCGAACTTGAATGTCTGAAAACAAGATTCAAGTCCGAAGGATTTCTTATTGCACAAAACGTTAAAAACTCAGATCTAAGGGCTTTAAATTTGCAGGATCAGGATGTAAAAGTTTCAAAGCTTTAAGAATATTACGGAAATGATACAAGTGAAGATCGTCTTATTCTACATCTGAAAATGTTTCGAGACCTCATCTGCCATGGTTGTAGTAATTCAAAAGGAAATCCAAATTATGCAAGATGTTATCTAGGCGGAAAATGTTTATGGAAATTTTCAATGTTTAATGCTTTTTTTGACATCACCTGTAACAACTTGCACAGCAGAGAGAAGTTTCTCAGCCTTAAGCAGTCTAAAAACGTACCTGCGATCCACAATAGGACAGGAGAGGCTGAACCACGTAGAGCGATACTGCATTGTTACCGAACCCTGACTGAGTCAATTGACGTTAAACAATTATGCAATGATTTACGATTAAAAACATTTGCATTGTTTTAATTTTATTTGGATGTTTTATTTCATTAATTTCTATATTTATATATGTTTGAGACATATACACACACACACACGCATATATATATATATATATATATATATATATATATATATATTCTGTCAAATATTTTGGACAAGTTGGCGCCTCTGGTCACAGGAATTGTAAAAAATATTTTAATAAGTCGGGAAAGTTTTTCTAGCATTTCATTCAAACCGTTTCCATTTGTATCTTTTAAAACGTTGACAATGTCTGTGACTGAGGTAATAGATAAATTTCGTTGCTTACAAACATCGCGAAACATGTTGAAAGGTAAATATAATCTGTCTTTTGACACCTCTGGATATATTCCAGCAATATAATTTAAGTGACTGCTG